TGGTACATGAGCGTGAAGACGATGTAGGTGGCGCCAAAGGAGAGCGGGAAGGCCATGTCCCAGATCGGGTACCAGTGCTTGTGCACGCACCAGTCGAGGAGCGCAACCAACATGATCCACCCGTGCAGGTCGGCCGGAATCTTGTACGGCGCCACGAAGGACTCTAAATAGGTATTTCGGAGATAGTCATACCGTAGCCCGCAGTCGTCCGTCTTGTCCGGCGTGTTCGGAGGATCGGCGTCGTTGTTGGTGTTGTCAGTGCCGACGACCCCTTCGGGAAACCCCCCAGAGGGAGGATCGTTGTTCGGACAACTGTACGGACCGTCGTCCGGTCCCGTCATGTACCCGTAACAGACGGTGACGAGGATGGGAAACACGACGGCGGTCATGTGCATCAGCCAAGCGACGTGAGCGTACCACGGCGTGGTCGTGCAGCCTGAGCAGGGCTGCTTCTTCGCGACCGCGAGGCAGGTGGTGAGCGATGCGAAAAAGAGGTAGATGAGCAGCCAGACGCTCGACCAGTTGGTGAGGTAGATGCCCCATTGGTCGCCGTAGTAGGTGCCGAGTTTGTCGGTCGCCGACCAGAGCACAACCGCGGCCCACACGACGAACAGGGAGAGGCGGAAGAGGACGAGGGTGGCGGCGGCGACGCGGTCGCCGCACAGCCGCGTGAAGAGCCACGGCGGCGTCCCAAAGGCCTCCATCCAAGGCGGCGGCGGCGGCGGAGGCTGGCAGCAGCCGATCTCGTACCTGCGGCCGCGAGAGCGGCGTGGTGAGGGCTGGGGAGATCCGGGCGGAGGCGATCGGGGACGAGGTGGCGCACTTGCAGAAGCCGTCGCAGCACTCGGTGGAGCAGAGCACGCACTTCCGCGGGCACCACTCTGTGCTCGGGCACCAGCGCCGGAGGCACGCCTCGCATCCCTTGTTGTTGCAACCGTTATCGCACCAGCCGTTCCAGCACGGACCGCGTCCGCCAGAGCTCCCACCCGCGCCCATGGCCGTGCTCTGTGCTGCGGCGGCGAGGCGGCGGGCGATGGGGTGTGCGAGCGTGTGTGTTCTCGAGCGGCTGGACGCTGGAGGCGGGCGGCGCTTTGGGTGGTGCTCACGATTGCGGGTCCTCGTAACACGCGAGCTCGCGTTCTTGTTTTCTTTTTGCGTTTAGTGCTAGATCGCGCCAGTCCGCACCTGTGTCGAGCCTGTCTGCTGTGTGAGAGAGAGAGTTGTCGTTGTAAAATTCTTTCCCTGGGGTGGAGGGAACGAGTACACGAGATGAGTAGATAGAACTCCCTTGACCTTGAGCACTTGTCACTTGAGCACGGATAGGGTCGATTCCAAAACCTAAGGGATGGTGTAGAGGATGTAGAGTGTAGAGCGCTGTAGAGCTGTAGAGATGTAGCGCTCTGGAGCGCTGTAGAGCTGTAGAGCTCTACATGCCGCGTGACGATGCGCCTGCGTTGTAGAGCGATGTAGAGGCTCTCTACAACGTGAAATCTCTACAACAAACTCTACATCATAAGCGGCGAACGAGGCACGGTCGCTCTCCGACATGAGGCGCGTTGCACTTGCCAGTGCTGCCCTGGCCTTCTCGCTTCTGTCTGCCTGCCCAATGGGTGGGAGGTGCCTCTGCTGCGCTGTGGCATGCCTCACGGCTGCGACTGGCCGGCGAGCGATCGTGGCCAGCGCAACTCGCCTGGACTCAACGCTCAGCCACGAGCTCGCGCACGCGCTGGCGCGAGGCATGGCGCATGCAACGCTCAACAATGACCGTCCTCGCAGCCGACACGCGACAGTCCACCGCCTGCTAAAGAAGCACTGCGACGAATGCGGCACCGGCGACGCATGGCAGGCTGGTCATGACGCAGTTATAGGGTGTTGTGTGTCGTCAGAGTGACTCTCTGTGTGTCAGGGATAGTCAGGGCCGTCAATCAGAGCTCCAGTAAGCTCGGAGACACCCCATTAGTGCGACTCGACCTCTTTGAGTCACTGCCTTCCCGGCGGTTTGGCTGTAGAGCCTCTACAACAAACTCTACAGCAAAATCGCGCTCTACATCTCTCTACAACGCAGGCGCATCGTCACGCGGTGGATGTAGAGCTCTACAGCTCTACAGCGCTCCAGATGTACCAGAGCGCTCTACATCTCTACAGCTCTACAGCGCTCTACACTCCATCCTCTACACCCTCCCCCTCAGTCCAAAACACAACAATCCCTCTCTCGATTCCGCATGGTACGCGGGACCCCTTGACCTTGTTCATATAGAATTTACAACAATTAGAGTTGTTTGGTATTGTAAAATCTCTCTCTCTAGTCTCTAGAAATCTTACAAACAAATGCTAGAATCTTTCCAAATGTCACTGTCAGTGCAAACCAAATACCAAATCATGTGTGGGTGTTAGAGTTGTTTGGCATTGCTAAAAATCTCTCTCTTTCTCTGTCAGTGCCGAAATTCTTGTTGGCTTCTAAAAATCTCTCTCTCTAGAATCTTGGAGCACTTGGAGTGCAGTCAGTAACCGCACATCCAGGGCTGGTGGATTAACGATAACGTTAACACGGTGTTCAAACGTTAACGGTTAACACCACAGCCGTAGAGGTGTTCAAACGTGTTAACACCGCCACTCGGGAGGTGTTGACACGCTCCGTTAGATGCGGGCGAGTGGGTGGCGCGAATTCTTTGAAGGAGCGCTACCAGAGTCCAGAGTTGTCACGCCAGCCACACGGCACACGCCCACGCGCTCGCTGGGCGGTGCTGAGACTGGCCGCAGCGCGATGAACGGCAACGATGGGCCGTTTGCTTGTGCTGCATGCAAGCTGGTCGTCGAGCACCAGAATGCAGCGGCACACAGCAAGCAATGCAAACTGCCGGTGCACTCTCGTGGGTGGTGTGCGATATGGTGTGGATGCCAGAAGAAGGCGAGTACTTCTGGCAAGCCCTGCCTCGAGGCGTACACTAGGGCGTACAACGCCAGCGGCGTGCGCAGCGAGGGCGCCCTGCCGCTCCGCCAGCGGGTCGACTCGCCTGTGGAGCCCCCGGGCCAGGGTGGCGCTTGATGTCGGCACGACCGCATCGTCCGCACCGCCACCTGCAAGCCGTGCCTTTTGGCACTTGTAGCGAGCGCACGTTGTGCGGTGCGCGTACTTGAGCAGGCGGTGCGCGCCGCAGTTGGCGCAGGGGCCCTGGGAGTAGGGCGCGCGCGGCATTGACGCGGACCCAGGTATTTCTCGGGTATACCCGGGTTTTTGCAGGTATTACCCGGAGGGTGTGTCAACACCGTGTTAACGGGAGAAAACGCTTGTTTTGGGACTGCCGTTCACCTGTGTTAACACCGACCTTTGCGCCAAGTGTTGACACGATCTGTAGTCAGAGCTGCCCCTGAGGTGTGTTAATGTTAATCCACCAGCCCTGCGCACATCCAGGGCCAGGGGGCTAAGAAGCACACCCAGGCAGCGGGCCAGATGATTGGCATCGGGTTGCGGGCAAGAGAGCCCTAGGCCTAGCCCTGGGGGGTGCGCTAGAATCGGAGATACTGAATCGGAACAAAACGAATTTGTTTGGTACCCGGGTATTGCTAAAAATCTCTCTCTCTAGAATCGGTGGGTCGCTCAGGGGACACAAACAAATCTCTCTCTCTCTCTATCTCTCTCTCTCTCTCTCGTCGGGCCGAAGCCCGTCAGGCACTCTCTCCCTAACCCTAGCCTTCTCCCGAACCCTAGTGTGTGTTGGTTGCCTCTGTGCTTTCACACCTCGCCCCGTCGTGTCCGTCCCATTGTGATTGCCCATGTCCCCGA